TTTTGCCATAATTTTTAGAAATTTTTCGTCTTCATTAGAATTTAATAATAATTTAATTTAATTTTTTCTTCTTCTTTTTCTCTGTCATTTTTGCTTCCTTTTTGTTTTTTTTTTGTTTTTTTTTTTTTTTTTTTTTTTTTTTTTTTTTTGCTGCAAGTAATTTAAAAGAAAATTTATGTGAAAAATTTTTTCATGTGATGCTTTTATAAATAAAAAAGTTTATGAAATATTTGTTTTTTTTTTTTTTTTGCTTTTGCATTTGAACATAAAAAAGTGAAAAAAAAATTTGAATGCATTAATTATTAATTAAATGTAATAATTTTACAATTTTATCATTTCATCTAAGCTTGTTTATTGATTTTATATCAAAGTTGTGATGTATATTAAATTAAAAAATTAATTAATTAATGAACAATTTTAAAATAAAACGATTAGTTGACTTTTTTTTATTTACTAATTTTACTTTTACACTATCATTCATTTGAATTCATAATTTCCATTTATTTATGATTAAAAATTATTTATAACTAAAAATTAAAAAATCAAAAATCGGAAAGAAAACGGAAAGAAGAAAAAAGCTACGGTAACAGTGTAAAATAATATTGTAATTATGAGAAATTGAATGAAAAATTGGAAGTATTTGAGAAAAATAGTAGTATAAAAATAAATGCGAAGGAATTATTGTTATCATTAAAGTTTTTTGTTTTAAATAATCTAGTGAAATTAATTTTTTGTGTGATATAAAAAGTGCCGAATAGTTGAAACATTATTCATCTCGAGATCAAGATTAATAATTAAAAAAAAGTTGAAGAACAATGATTAGAGATTATCAAGATTAACATTAACTATCCATGTTGATCTTTTGAATGGGAATCAAATGAAATTGTTGTTAGGTTAGGGTCAAAGTTCAATTAAATCTGTAGGTCAGGAGGGAGAAAGAGAGAGAGGGAAGAGAAATTTATGTTGTTGGTAAGAATAATTTGCAAATTATTTTCTTATACAAAACAATTGTCAACAATAATTTTCAATTGTAAATAAATTTTATTAATAGATTGGAGAAATTAGAAAAAATAATCTTATTTATAACTTATAAAGTTTAATTTATCATTTATTAATTTTCATCAGAATATTTACATATTTTGCTTTAACAATTTTTAAATATTTTAATTATAACAGAATACTTATATTATAAAATTAATTTAATTTTTCCAACTAACATATTTTTGTTAAAACCATTAAATGGTTTTTTTTTTTTTTGTAACTAATATTACTTCAAATATTTTTAGCGACAAATTTAATAAATTTAAAATTCATAAATAACTGTGAACTAATATGTTTATTCTTTCCCAATTTTTTTGTCATTCTATCCGCATGGGCAATATTGTGATGTTTTCCTTTTCCCGTGAAACCTACTAAAATTCTATATTCCAATTAATCTGGATTGTTATTTCGAGTATTTTGCATTATTCAATTCACATTTTGCTAATTAATTATTATAAATCAATATGGTCAAATTAAATTAGCAAACAGGTACAGGGTCATTTGTTTTTTTTTTTTAAAAAAAAAATATGCCACAAACTTTTAATTTTTGTTTTTTTGTAAAAATAAAAACTTGCAAAAAAAAAAGATATTTGAATTAACTGACAGTTATTTCATTTTTTAGTTTATTACGAATGAAAATTTTTTTTAACTGTTTAAATTAATAATGTCATTGAAGCATTAGCTGACTTTTAAATATAACTGAATGCAGCTATTTTATCATTTATTTATCACTTATTTATCACTGCCATATTTTCTATTAACTTTAGCAATTACTTTCGGACGAATAATCAGCTGAGAGCTTTTCAGTTAACACTCACTCATATTGGTAAATTTCATTTACTTTTCCGTTTTTCATTTTTCGTTTTTTTTTTTTTTTTTTTTTTTTTTGTTTCTTATAACCCAAATGTTTACTTTTTTTTTCATACATTTAAAATACTTTAATAAAATGTTTATTCAATCATATTAAAATGATATGTAAAATAAAAATTAAAAATTTTATTTTACCGATAGATATGATAAGAATATACATTTTGTTAGATGGAATACATTTTCCTAATAAACTTAGGAATCTAAAAAACATAATTAATAAATTTGGAAGTTTACTTTAGGAAGAGAAGTAAGATATGTTTACAAGTAAGAAGATAAATATTGCATTTGGATTTGTTATCTTCCAACAAATTCTTATCAGTACATCATATCATACTCAAGACAAATCTAGGTATTATCTTTTCACTTAATTAATTTGGTCGTTTATTAATTATAACAAAATCACTTACCCATTAAATAATTTGCATTTCAAATTATTTGAATTGATGATTACTGTGTAGCAACTTGATCATTAATTAATTGTTCAAATTAAATAAATGGAAATGATTAAAGTAATTTTTTACTTTATTTTCTGCAACATACCAGGAAATTTAAATATCATAGAGTAATAATTTTTTATTAACTTCATATAAATGGTTGATTTTTTTGACGAAAAAGAAAAAAATTATTTGTTTTCCGAACTGTTAGAAAGTACCTCTGAGACAAACAGTTTGTTCTTAAGATAAATATTAAATTTTTCGGATTTTTTTTCGAAAAAGAGGTATTAAACAAATTTTATCAAACTTTTTTTTTTTTTTTTTTTAAGCACAAATGACATTCACAAGAAGGAAAGCACTGAGGAAAACAAAAAAAAAAGAAAAAAAAATTTGTTATTTGAAAACCAATACACAAAAAACTAATTAATTATAGGAAAGCGAGAAAATAGCATTACTGTTACTTACTTAACAAATTAATGAAAATATGGAATGATCTACAATATGAACTTTATGAAATTATAAAGTTATCAATCAATAATGCACATTATCATTTGAGTGATAATCAAGATAAGAAATCAATTAAATGCACCAATGTTTAGATATAGAAAATTTTAAAGTTTGTTTATGTAATATTTACTTATTATGTAGAATGTAATAGTATTTCATAAATTTCATATTAAAATGTCACATTTTTATTTACTATTTCTGTTCTTTCATTCTGTTACTTTATTTTCATTTATTATCAAAAACAAAATTTAGAGTATAGCAAAATTGATTTTCTCTTGCACAATATATGCAAGTTAAATTTACTATTTGAACTACTCTGATCATCAATCTTATTAGTAACCAAGAAATTTATGCGGTAGGTTATTTTAAATTTGAAGCAGTAATATTTGAGTGATATTGAGATTTTGCTATTGTTTAAATTTTCAACAAATTTAGTTAATTTATGGAAAATTTGAATTTTTAGCAATATTTGAAATAAAATATATACAAGATGATAGTGAAAGGGTAAAAAGCGCCAGCAATATCTAATCGGTAAAGCAACATCAGTTATCTTATCAAAAACATCAAAAATACCGCAACTATATAAATTTCATACATCTGACGTAAAGGTAAATGCATTTGTCAACTGTTTATACCTTTCCTATTCCATCTATATCCTAAACAAATTTTATTACTTCATCTATATGATAGATGGAAATTTTATTCATTCTATTCTACTTATTATATATATATAATTTATTATTTAGAATACGTTGCAATAACTGGTGCTAAATTTTATGATTTTATGATAAAAATATTTCACAAATTTTCTAATTTTCCAATATTCCATAAACAGACTAACAATATGATCAACGATTATCGGAAATGTTTTAATAAAGTCTAACGTTAGTGAAACATTTACTCAAACAAAATATGTCATTTTGTTCTATTATATCGTTATTCGTCGAAGTGTTTCATGATGTGTCGAATAATAACTTAAATTTTATGAAAACACTAATTTTAAAAATCACTGAGATGAAAAAGCAGGATAACTTAACAACATCGATAGTTACAAATCCGGAATACTGCTCAAATAATTTCAGTGTGTTGCAAACAAATTTTAAGAAACTTCGAAATCATACCTTTTAGGTCACTAGTAAATTACAGAATTTAATCGACAATATATTCAGAATCAGGAAATTTAATTACGCTCATTACTTCCGTAGCTCGGCAAATTTTAACGGGTGAATTATCTGTATTTCCAGTGATAAAATAAAGTTCGATAATTGTGTAGTGAAATGTTAAATTTAAAAAAAAAAATTTTAGAAAAAGTTTTAAAAAAAATTTTAAATTTGAAAAAAAAACTTGATAAATAAAAATATCAGAACAGTAATTTGGAACTGTTTCCAAAGGATATGCAATAAGTAGGAGAATTATCTGAGTAATATACTCTTATTGATTGAGTGTTTGTTTATAAGAATAGACATTAAAAAGTACGCATAATACTTTAAACAATCAGAGCTTTCCAAATTATTAAATCCATCATTTTTTCTAGGTGAGTTAAAACAATGACTTAATAAGAAAACAAATTTGTTAATATTACCAGAAGCAAAATAAATTATTTGCGAAAATCGCTCATCAAACCCACAATCGATTCATTGTTGTGTATGATATATAGGTGGTAAAAGGACGAAAAAAAAAAATGATTTATTGCTTACAAAAATAAAGAAATTAAAAGAAATGAGAAATATGAGGTTAACAAATGGAGGTAAAATATAAACAAATCATTTTAATCCTAAGATTATATTTCTAAAACATAAGAGAAAAACAATATAAAATAATATGTATTAAGCAGCATCATTTCATCACTGAAAACTCAACAGTGAAGATTTATCTATTCAACAATTTCAACAGTACAATACAAGTCTGGGAATACTTGATTGATTATCTGCATAATCTGATAAATTATCTGCACAAGTAATCTTTTTACCTTCAGCTATATAATTATTTCCTAATTATGATCAGTTATGGAATTTGTAAACGATATTCCAAACGAACTCTCTCATTTCAGCTAAATTATTCTAACATTTCACAAAACCCTAAAGATACATTAACAAAGTGAGATAAAAAGTTAAACAGTAGCGGCTAGGTTGAGTGACATTAAGATATCTAATGAGCAGCTTCTTGCTCTTCCATTTTCTTATATGCTTCATAAGCTGTCTCATTCATCAGTTCTTTCAATTCATTTACATCTTTTACTTTCAATTTGTACAACCAACCTACAAATATATAATAGTTTATCAAAACTCCATCACACTGATACAATGACCAAAATGTGTCAAGCAAACAAAGATAATTTGAAATAGGAATTAAAGTCAGTAATCCAGGGTAAAAAACAAATCACATCCAATAAACTTTAAGCTAAGTTCATGCAACTGTATGGTTCCTTCAAAAATAAACCTTTCTTAAAACTCGTCCTAATATTTCATTTTTCGGTTAAGTTAAAAGCAGAAACAGTTATTTTCCCTACTTATATGGTTAAATCATTAATTCTTAACTAATGAATGATCGAAAATGTTCTTTCACTTACTGTAAATAGTGGATTAAAAACATTCGTACCTTTATCAATAGCAGACTTATTGATCAATGATGGATTGCTTTCAACTTCGATGTTCTTTTCCGTAACTATTCCAGAAATAGGTGAATAGATGTCAGATGCTGCTTTTACACTTTCCACTGCTCCAACTGAATCACCTGCATGCAATTCTTTTCCAACTTCAGGCAGTTCCGCATAAACAATATCACCAAGTGCTGCCTGAAACCATTTTGTAATTAATAAAAATGTACTTTTTAAGGATGATTAAATTTAAATGTGATAGAGTGACTGTTGGTTCAGCATAGGGATGAATGCATGATCAACAGGTAATGCTTGGATATCCTAAAATATCCCGAAATCCTAAATGCCCAAAAATAATACCCTGCAAGAATTCTTATAAAGCAAGATGCTATGTAATATCAGTCCTTTAACAACTTGTCAAATCCAGCCGTCAGAAGTACTAAACCTGCGCAAAATCACTGATTCCAACAATTGCTGTATTACCTTCGATGATAACCCATTCGTGCTTCTTTGTGTAATACCGATCTATAAATATTCTTTTGAAGATAATATACTTTTCTTTAAATGATTTAAAACTACTTATATTTCTAAAATATATACAATTCACAATCCAAAAAGTATTAGGTAAGAAAGTATAGTATAAAGTATTGGGTAAGATTTACCTAATACTTTATAAGAGAGGAACAATTAGGTAAAATGAAAGTATGATAAGGACAAATAAAGTGGACGTTTGAATGAACTTGTCTATTAACAAACTAATAGATATACTGGATAGCTTAAACTATATTCCTACAAAAGTTACAACTAGCTAATTTAATTACTGTTAATGAGTTTTAAACAGTTAATACAAAAAATAATTCGTAACATACCAGAAAATGAGCGCTTTGACATAACGATGGTGCGATACATTGAAATAAACAACGATTTCGATGTGACAACAGACGGAAAAAGCCTTTGCACTGCTCGCGTGTAGTACGTTGCCATATCTGTCAAATGTTTGAAATCTTCAAATGAGTTATCATTTGCTTTCAAATATAATAGATGACTAACACAGCAATGAATTAAAGATTATTTTTTAATAGCATATGTGAGAAAAGTATGTCCAAATTACACAAATTAAGTTCCTAATCCAGCATAATTATATCGTGTTGAATTGAACTGAAATCAGATGAAGCAAATAGTTCGAAGAATCGATTATATATGATCTTATTATATATGATCAGTGCTATGATGTTTTTATGCTAACAGTTCATGCGAAATTTTTAACTAATTCACTTCAAAACATATTTAGCGATCCACTCTATTCATCAATCTACCTTATTTTATTAACAGGTTATTTCAACTGACTGAGTGAAAATGAAAACTGAAAGAGTTTTTATTCTTATAGGAAAGAAACAAGATCAAATACAGTGATATAATTTAAGCTTCCAACATTTTTCCTCTCTTCTTTATGTTTCCTATTTTGAATGCAAAAATTACTTCTTCTCACATTATTAAAGATATAACAGAAAACGATAATGAAGTTAGATTTCGACGGACCTGAAGTTATTCCGCTAGTGATAAGGAAACGAAATATCAGATAATTTATCTTAGTTTTCCTACATTTCCCTTATTTTCTTATAAATGTCTTTCCTATATTCATTTCCTCTCTGTATTTACAAATTTATATAATCGTTTTAATATAAACAATAATTCTTGCATTATTTTATTTTATGTACTTGCCAATATATTAAAAAAAAAAAAATATATATATATATAGTGCAAGAGGTATGCTTGGCATAACTTTAGCTTTTCTCAATTTTTTTGCTCTGATAAAATTTTGCGCAATTTTCCTCTGATAAAATTTTGCGCTTTTCATCGCAAAAAACTTATACCCAAAAATTTTTTCATATTTTCTAAATTATTTTAATAAAAATCGAAGGATTCTATTTAAATGACGTTTTGTGTCTTTTTTCTAACAATGATTTTCGTGCTTTTAGATTCAACTTTATTTTTATAAGGCAAAAACAATATACAAATATATGATATGAACAGTACCGAATTGAGATAAATATTCATTGATGGCCATTATCAATATGCATTAATAAACATTTATAATAGAAGTGAAATTAATTACTAATGACATTAAACGACTATATGAGCCAAGAAGAAATAATGGGACCAGTCTTACTAGGCCACATTCCCCGCTTCTCCGTTTTGTTAACAGTACCCAGTGATAAGCCATGAAATGTGATGTGACTCATTCGCTAGTAGTTGGCACGAGAAATACAACGCTTTCAATGCGAGATTGTGTTGGTTGTACTCATATGGAGTTAGTATTTCCGGAATTCCGGACGCATTCTCGTCAGTTTCATTATTATTGATCCGTTCTACTTTGTTTCCTTTACAGTTATGCCAAACATTAATAAAGAGATATGGATGTTACAATGAACAGTTGGCAAATGGAATGAGTTATCCTGAAAACAGGATTAACTCTCACGAAAAAAAAAGGAAACGAGTAATTGTTTGGATCTAGAAAATGACTAATTCATATAATATTGCGAGAAGGAATGAATAATAAGATAGGTTTAGTATTTTTGCTATTTTTTTTTTTAAAAAAGTTGTGGTTTAATAAAACTCGTACTTATCTCGGGAGAATAAAATGGCATGAAATTATTTGACTACTAGATATTGCCCGAATTGTTTGCCGACTAATTTCATGCAATTGGAAAAATCTAAAAAAATGCAGTAGACAAAAGGGAAATACATTTTCGTTTGACGTGAATTTGACTTTCAGAATTGATTAAATCATTTTATCACTTTTGTTCAGCCTAATTAATTTTTTTTGAATACTAAAGTTTCAAATGTGATGAAATACATGTTTTCTGCTGCATCTGTTTTTATCACTTATGCACAATTTTGTTGATTAATTTTATTATTGAAACAATAAAAGTAGATCTTTGCTGTCTAAGAAGACGAAGTATTTTTTCATGAAATTATGTAGTAGCAAGTGGATTACAAGTAGAATTACAATTTGAAAATTTGACTTTTTTCTTTTTAGATTGGTTTATTGGCACTTTTCTTGGCGTATTACATTCGTTTCTCGTGAATTATGTGTACAAAGTGGTACCGGAACCGTATATGGATGAAATTTTTCACATAGATCAAGCACGACGTTTTTGTGCATCAAATTTTACGTCAGTTTATGATTCTTATTTGATTATCAGCTACTTTATCAATGGGACAATACTTTTTCTCAGTTCTACTTTTTCAATTTAAACAATTTTAAAGCTAAATTTTAATGCGTATTTCAGAAAGCATACACAAGGATTTATACTCTTTACAAATAGATTATTTAAATGAAGGTGATGTATTGTCTCAAAAACATTATAGGCGGATAGATTAGCCGGAGTGTATCTAATTTATTTATGTACGAATGAAGAGAATTTTATTTTTTTTTTATATTGTAGTTTAGAATTTTAGTTTGTTCTACTGCAATTAATGAATGATATAACTGCTTTATACTTATAATCTTCCTTTATTTCAGCGATTCCTTTCTATCCGTAATTCATTAAACGAATTTTATAGATTATTGTGAAGACTTTTCAGATGGAATCCAAAAATCACAACACCACCAGCTTTATATGTACTTTCGCTACCATTTTTTTGCGGTTATGAAAGATATACGAATTCTGCTTTGATTCCGTTTGCTTTTGTTGGTTGTATGCAATTCCGTCAACTTTTCCAGAAGCCTTTTATATCCAAGTTAAATTTTCGTTATCTGGAATTTACACTAAGTTCTCTAATTGTCTTACTGCTTCCTGTACTCTTTCAGTCTTCATTGCTGTATTATACGGATTTATTATCATTAACCACACTGCTATGGGCTTCTTCTCTTCAACCAAGTATATTCTCTTCTTTTATTTTTGCTATTTCTATATGCACCAGGCAAACAAACATTATTTGGGCAGCTATCTATGGCTTAACTCATTTGTTTATTTTATTTAAAAAGCTAAATAAGGGTACTTCATCAATAATGATACTGATTAGAAGCTTATTGCATCTTTGGTCATTAATACTGCTACCCGTTGGTTTTATCATATTTTTCATGTTGAATGGTAATAGTGTAGTGCTCGGTGATCGTTTAGCCCATCAACCAGTGGCCCATTTCATGCAAATTTGTTATTTTTTGATTTTCCTATGTTTCAGTTCAGCACCTTTATTGGCACTTTCTCCTAAAACTTATCGATGTCTTGGGTATATCATCCGTAAGCCTATTAAATTATTATTTTCTTGTTTACTTTTTACTTGTTGCGTTTATTTCTTCACATTGCAACATCCATATCTCTTAGCTGACAACCGCCACTTTACTTTTTATATCTGGAGACGGTGGTTTTTACATCATCCATATTGTAAATACATTACAATAATTCTTTATATCATAGCACTTCAGTTATTTAGCCAAATGATGGAGCATATTCCGAGAGCTCTTACTTTACTATATATTTTGGGAACAGCGGCAGTATTAGTACCAGCACATCTGCTGGAACCAAGGTATTTTATCATACCTTACATTTTCTGGCGTCTTAGCTATCCAGAACGACGTTTTCTAGTAATTATTCTAGAATTAATCTACGAGATTATTATAAACGCTATTGTTTTGTATATATTCTTGTATATGCCATTCGAATGGTTACATGAACCAGGTGTTAAACAGAGATTCATGTGGTAAGAAATGCATTAAAACATCAATTTTTTCTTCGTAATATAACCGAGAAGAAATGATGGCTTCTATCCAAAATATTTCCATTTTAAAAGCAACTCAAACTTGCTCATTATATAAAGAAAAGAGTTTTAAGAAGACTTTCCCACTAAGTTTTCTTTATATTTAAATTTTAAGATTTCTGTCATTCGCTGTTTCTGTTTGTATTTGTTCTTGAACGATTAACGGTTTAAACTTTTTATTAGATGTTTTAAGTGAATTGTTGAAACAGTTCGTGGAATATTTCTGAAGTATTATATAATGCACAATTTAGGCTCACGATAAAACTTCTGTAATGAAAACTGAGCTTATATGAATTCCAAATTGAGAAGCTTATTGCAACCTTTTTAACACTATGCAATAATTTAGCAGGTGTGATGATAAGTGAAACTGAAGGAATTGTCAATCTTATGTATGTTTCTTAATTTAATTGAACTATTTCAATGTTTTTGTTATTGCCGTAAGCCTGGACTGGAACAAAGTTATAATCATGCGCTATAGTTGTGATATATGCAACTTTGTACATGTACAGCGCTTTTGAAAATTCGTTAATAAAACAAAAAAACAATAACTGATATGGTAAAAAATTAGAAGTGAGCAGTAGTGAATCGAAATAAATTACAAAATTTAAAATAAGCTCAAATTAGGTAAGCCTGGGAGTAAGAATGGGTAAGCATGGTTACCTATGACATATTTAATTCATAGTAAATTAATTTTCCTATTCAATTATTAAATAAGTTACTTAACATTTATTCGGTTATTTTGAATGGAGTAATTTAAGAGATGCAAATTTAATTTTAATTTTGATAAAAACCTAGAGTTGAGCAAATGTTAGGAATATGCAGATAATTGGTCAACCAGAGAATCTAATGATGCTAAACTTGCAGCCTTTGAACCGATACACATAATATATTGTTTTTCTGGAAGTGATTCAGCACAGTGTATGGTATGATAGATATGAACAAGACCCGGATCCGGTGCACGCATTATACGTAGCGGTGAGTGAACACATCTCTCAAAGAAATCCACATCTTCCATGCCCCATCCCTAAAATGATATCTTATTTCAAAATTTTCCTACGAAACCATTTTTCATTCCATATTAAAAGTTTAAAATTTCTTTAAGAAAAACACAATTTTTTTAAAAAAGAAAATTTCAAACATAAGCATTAACAAAGCCTGTAATGAGGATAGTAATATGTACATTCAAATTCACCTGTATATTCAAATTCATGCCTCCAATGAGATCTAAATCGGATTTATAAATTGACACTAGTCCAAATCCGAAATGTCGAAAATAGCCTCTTTTTCGACCATAATGAAATGCATCAGACAGTAATCGATCGCTATCTGACCATGTTTCTGGTGAATATTCGCTAAATACTATTGGAAAATATACCTGAAATTCTTTCATTTATTTTTAGTTCTTAAATTTTCATTGGAAGAGTTCACTTCTTCACTGCTTAAAAAAAAAAAAAAACGATAAACAAATAAGAAAAATGTTAGAATTAATTTACCTGAGCACCACGTACAGTATTGCGTATGACCCGATCAAGAGTATCACAAGTGAAAAGAATGTCAACATCAATAAAAAACATTAAGGCATCTGGTCCCAGAATATCAGCACCACGGGAAAGTGCAATGCCACGATTGAATGGTTGTGAACCCATGTTGATTACCTGAAAAACAAATTGTTTATTCTAGCAGTAATTTTTCATTGCTATACAATGATATCAAAATCATTTTTGATCAGAATTGCTACCTTCAACGTTTAAATTTTATCCTTTAAAGAAATATTAGCAGTTAGCAGCTATTGAAGTAACATTCTCTCATATATATTCGTTCATGAATACTAGATATGCCAAATATTTGATGTTGTATGTTGTAAATCAAATCATCAAAAAAAAAAAAATTCTCGACATATCTTCAAAATATGGAAGATAAATTATTCAGATATTATTTCGATCAGCTTTTTAGATCAGATAATAACTATTGCAAAATCGATCAATTTTTATAGAGTATATGACGAACCTTAACATCAATTTCTAATTTAAGTTCATCAATCAATGCTGCAATTGCTGTATCCACATCTGGTACCGAATCATAAATCACCAAAATAAGTGAAAATATCCGTTTGTTGAGACATACGGTTCTCAGATTATTTGCAAATCTGTACAAATATTAACGCATAATGGTTATTATCATATTGTTAAATTATCAGCTATAATTATCAGTGGTTTGTAATTATCAATAGTTATCAGTAGTTTATCAATCTCTCACTATATCTATATTCCAGTTTAGATTTAATTATTAACATATAGAAATATCTCATAATTTTTCGAACTCAGTTATTAGATCTCAAAATTCTAATACAAAAAAATTGTTAAATCTTTGAAGATTAAAAAAAAGCCTAAAAGCATTGGAAAGATTTAGATAATATCTTTGTTCTTATCCTTAATAAAGTCTAAAAGTTTAAACAAATCTTTAAACTATATATATATATATATTTTTTTTTTCAATTGTTTTCTTAATTGAAAAAAAATTAACCTTTTAAAAGAATCAACTCTTCCAGCAAGTGGCACTATCATATGTACGTGAAAATTTTCCGGTGGTAATTTCATTCGTTTCCAATTAAAATCTTTTGATTCATTTGTTTCTTTCCATAAACGAATACTTTTTGCAATACGTTGTCGTAAAGTGTCACGAAAAAAACTATCTGATATAATTTCCAATGATCCAAATGTTTGTTGAATATATGCATGACGACGTACAGAAAGTGTTGCTCTATAAAAGATAATCATAGTATGTATGGGTAATATTTCAATTACAATCTAATATAATTTTAATTTTAAAATTTCAAATATTCTATAAACAAATATTTCGCAAAAGGAAAAAAAAAAACCTTTATCAATTGAAATTTGAAATTAATTAAAAAAGAAAAGATTAACCTATGAGGTGGACGAATTTTTTTGAACCATAATACCATGTCAAGCACATAATCTACACCATGACGTGGTTCAACTCTCATATAACCGTACTGAATATTCTGAAATCGTAGTACGCGACCTCTTTGTCGAGCATTTGCATTGAATTCATCGAATAGCTTAAAAATATATATATATATATTTCAAGTTACCGTTTTAGTAATGGTGAAATTAAAATTTTAAGTTATGAAGTTGATAAATTGATATTTGTGCAAAGTAGTTATCAGTTAATGATTGCGACCTAATAATGATCGAAAAATGATTAATAGTAATAGTGATAATAACAATTAATAATAGTAATGATAATTAATAATAACAATAAAATAATAATAATAAATACCAGTAATAACCTGAGTGATAATTTCATTAAGTGCCATTCGTATACTTAAATCAAGCGTATGCCTTGGACAGTTCACTTGTTGAGCACAAAATAAAATATTGTTGGATGAAATAAAATCCCAGTGGAAGAGATCACGTGTTGAATTTGGAATATGACGTATAAGTGATGGTGCTTTTTGGTTCGGTAATTCATTCAACAATGTAATACGTCTGGAACGTAACATTGCAAGCCGAAGGATACGATTGTGAACATGAATTCGGCGCATTGTTGATGGTTTTTTGACTGGATGTAACGTAATGGCATGACGTAACTCCGTCAAACTACCTTGATAAGCATTCGGTACCGTTTGATTATTGTGAAATAATGTTTGCATTTCGTAGTTCCACGTACACGTGACACCAACATGCTTACGGATACATCTAAATAATATTAAGCATTTCAACTCTAATTTCAGTAAGTAAATGACTACTGGTCACGTCAAACCGATTTCTAAGCAAAAATTGCTTTCGCAATGAAAAAAGAAAACCTGAAATTGTGCTCAATGAAATTGAAATTGAAACGACAATAATGAAAATGCTAGTACAATAATAGATGATTTTACTCAGCTAATAATTAATACTTTTCCTGGTAGCTTATTAGCAACGCAGTATCACGCACAAATAGTACCTTCCAAGTTCAACGTCTTCGTGCGTGGTGAACATTTCCATCAAACATGAACGTAAATGTGGAGCGACACGACGTAAAGTCATCCGAGACATTACAATACCAGGTCCACCCATACAGTAATTGTCCTCTTGACCAAGAGCCAATTGTCCATATTCGGCTGTATTACCCAGTCCAGCTTGGCCAATTAAATATGCCTTATCCGAGTCCAAAGATCTAACATAGAAGCATTATATCCATAGGATTTGCAGATGATAAAACTTAGAAGAGATTCTCTCTCTCTCTCTCTCTCTCTCTCTCTCTCTCTCTGTCTCTCATTCACATTTAATAATCTTTGTTGTGTAAACAATCATTCATTATATTCATCCTAATTGGTTAATTTTTCAAAACTTTTAAAATTTTCACAAAATTATTTGAAACTAAACATTTTCAATTTTAAAACAAAAATTAGCCATGCAGAAAATTATTAGAAAAATAAACCTTAGCAATGTTTCCAATTGTTCTCCTCGCACATATAAATCATCATCTGCTCTCATAAACCAATTGAAATCATCCAACTGAAAATTTTCTCAAAAATTTATATGAAATAAAAAAAAAAAAAAATATCTTTTAAGATTTATGAGAATGTCTAGAATTTAAGAAATTGCTAATTAGATATGTTCCGATAAATTGATAAACCTTAAATAATTCTCCTAATTCTTTAATTTTCTATCCTCAAATGAAAGTTAATTTTATCTTATTCATTAATTTAGGATTGTTAACAAATCATTAATATTCTGATCTAAGAAAAAAAAAAAAAAATTAACACTAACTTTCAAAAAACTTTTTCTTTTTTTCATTAATTGTTTAATTAATTGTTAACTTTTATTTTAATCCAAAATTTTTCATTATTTAACTATTATATTATAAACTTTTCGAAATAAATGAAAATTTAAAATATATTAGAATAAAAAATTTTCTGGTTGAAAGAATTAAGAAAATTTT